TCTCACCAGGCCATGCTGTCCCCGTAACTCAGATGGTTAGCGGAGGAAAGAAATTGGAAGCCCCTGGTTCCAAATGAGTCCTCTGCTTGGCCATGCTAACTCTGCTACCCTGAGCCTTTCTCAGGACATACAGTTATCAGGACTTCATTTCTTTCCGTTCATTTTAGCCATAATTAGATTAGGAGAGAAGGTACAGGAAAAGCGACATGCAGCCCCCAGGCCAGCGCGGCCCCTCTAACAGCCCCCGAGAACATCCTGTCAGAGGCAGGAAGGCCTCTTCCCTTCAGCTCCATTAGCGTGAAGACAGGCGCTTCTTCCTGCTGTTAGGGGTGTGTTTCAGCGGGAAAAGGCAGGAAAAAGAGGGCCTGGCAGCATTTAAACCAAGATTAGAACTCTAGATTAACTGTACCTCAAGATAAAAAGGCAGGTTTTTAAATTTTGTTCCCATTTATTGTTGGAATCGTCTTTATTTCTTCTCACTTTTGCCGATTTTCCTATACATTTCTCGCTTGGCATATCTCTTCAACCTGCTAACAAAATTCTTTAGAAGGCGCCTGTCAACCTTTGAGGCCAGCCACAGTTTATTCACACTGAATGAATATCTAAAGAATGAACCTTACGATCTGTTGACTTCCAGTTCCCAGCTACTCAGAGGGAAGGACCAGATTTCACAATCTAGTGTCAGTCTCTTCTGAGGAGCTGATGAAAGGATTAAGTTAATATTTGTTTTTCACATTAGAATCCTTTTGTTCTGTTTTTTCTTTTTTTAATTGAGGCATACCTTAAAATACATGGTTCTGAAGTGTTCGCTGAAATAAGTTTTGATGGTTGTATACCGCATGTAACCACCATCCAAACAAGATAGAACATTCCCATCGTCCCAGAGAGTCCCATGGAATGCTCTGTATCTTGTTTTATACACCAGCTTTCTGAGCCTTGGGAAGTCTTTCTTTGCCCAACTACTCTGCCCCCAGCCTGCGGAGGGCAGGTACCCAAGCCCTGCCAGAAGTGACTAAGTGCCTCAAAAGGGCTTTCTCAGCTGTGCTTCTTTGCTTCCAGTCTTAAGAAAGTGGCTTTCTTGCACTCGGGGGAGGCTCCGGGTCTGTAAGGGGGATTTCTCTCAGTTCTCCTCTCCAACCTCCCACCTTTCATGTATCACCTGTGCACTGGCCCAAAGACCATGAGAAAGTTTGGTGAGTGGATACAGGCTCAGTCTACACCTAGGATTCTTCTGAATTCTAATCTGTCACCCGAGTCTGCTTGCAGCCATTAAAAATTCGTTAAGATTTGACTTCTGTCTCCCTACCTCCATCTACAGTGGATTTACCTTCCACCTGCTGTTCTTCCAGGAATGAAACAGCCAGGGGTCTCTTATCTTCTAGAAGGGCTGCAGATGTTTTGGAATTTAGTTTATTTAAGCTTCTTTGCATCCTTATCTCTCCGGTGGGTTTTTTAAAAACCACGATTTTATAGCTGATTATCTAGCTTGCTTTGGTTGTTAGGATGGGAGTGATGGTCTCTTACAACTTTCTATAATCTTATTCACAAGAGCAACAACCAATTCCTTTTGATATTTTACAATAGTACGGACAACTGCAGCTCAAATGTCTGTTATAGATGATAAGTTAAGATTTCAAATTACTGCAAATCTGGCTTTCCCTACTGTGGGGGAGAAAAAAACCTAAGTGAATACATCAACTGCTTAGTGTTGAGGCTTTTAGTAGTATCATCCTCATTTATATTAAAAAAAGGCATGTATTTTACCAGTCAAGACTCAAGTAGAGCAGGTCTCTGAATAATGTTGTTTTATTATAACATTGATGAGAATCGATTCATGGTCAGGGCTACTGTCTGTGTGGAGTTTGCATGTTCTTCTCACGTCTGCATGGGCTTTCTCTGGTACTCGAGTGGTTTCCTCCCACATCCCTAAGACAAGCATGTTAGGTTCACTGGTGTGTCTAAATCGTCCCGGTCAGAGTGAGTGTGGGTGTGTATGTGAGTTTACCCTCCGATGGAATGGTGTCCTGTCCAGGTTTGCTTCCTGCCCTGTATCCTGAGCTGCTGGGATAGGCTTTGGCCACCCATGACCCTGAACTGGAATAAGTGGGTAAATAATTATCTTACTTGTTTTTTATTAATCTTTCTTAAATGTATGTATAGCTCACGTTTATTTCAATATTTAATATTAGAAATGTGTTGCTCTTTATTTAGAAGTTTGATGATTTTTTTGGGGACCAGAAATATCCCTTAGAAACTTAACTCTTGTTTATATCAATTAGTCTGTAGTAAAATTGGTTTCTTTATGTGATTTCACTTAAAATCACAGTTTCCAAGAACCTATTGATGATGTTAAGTGAGGATTTACTATAGCGTAGAAACTTTCATTATTTTTTTGCATATTACATTACCCTGAGATGCTATTAATCATGGGACAAAGAGCTATTAAAGTCACATAAATGCTGCCGGACTCTCAGACATGGAAGCAAAATTGGTTTGATACGATGTACCTTCAGGGTGATTCCAGGCGTTGACATTCATTTTCATGGGAAGTGGAATGTCATATTAATCTTCTTGTGCGTAGCATCCTTGTGATTTGTCTCCCATTGAGAAAGTCAAGTGCAGAAATCATTTTATCTTTAAATCTCTTCGAAGATTACATGTTCCTACTTTTCAAAATATTACGGAAAATTTCAAATATGCACTAAAATAGAATAGCACAACGAAGCCCCATGTAACATCATCTAGCCTCAAGGACTGTCAACACTTTGCCCATCCTGTCCCATACATACCCCACTTTTTTCTTTGGGGAGGATGCCATGGTGTTTTCAATTTTAAAATAAATCCTTCGGTATACATTCTAATTTCAAGAGTTGCAAGCAGATTCATGCAGTATAAGCAGGGTCATTCTCTTGAAGATGAGATTAAAACAATAGATTGAAATATCTTTTCATGAGATGTACCTCAGGTAAGATCTTCAACACCTTGGTCCCATTTCCTTTAACTCTTTTTTCTCACTATCCCTTGACACAAATAATCTGCTTCAGCCCATCTGGTGCGCTCACTGTTGGCTCCTGCATGCGGTAAGCATTCAGTTAGTTTTTATAATAGCAAAGGGCTTGCTGGGAAAGTGAATGAAGCATTGCATGGCCCAGATCAGCATCTTTGCTCATGGTGTCTCTCCGTCTATTTCTTTACCCCTTTCTTTCTGCCAACACAAAGAGAAATACGCACCAGAATTTGTCACTTGTATTCCCTTATCGTTGGCCTTTGTTACTCTTGCTGTCATTTCTCTTCAGTGTTGCTGTCCTGTTTGTCTTCTTCCTGCTGCCTTTTCCATATGAGAATTCTACAAGGACCCCTTAGGTCTCCTTCAGGGCTTAGTTTAAGTTTTGTTTTCTCTGTGCTCAATGAAGTTGACTACTCCCTCTTCTGATCATCTAATCTCTGTACCACTCCATTAGATACTTGCTTTTACTGCCTTCTATTATGAGTTAATATTTAAGTGAACATATTTTAGTTCTCTAAGGAAACTTAAAAAAATTTTTGATATTTGATTCATCTTTATTGTCCCTATGAAGGTTGTATGAGTTCATCCACACTGTCGGGTCCCAGTGCGTTTTCTATTTTCTTTTAGCCACGTTTTTCTGTTTTCCAGATGCTACTGTTACTCAAAATATCCTATATCCAATTGAAATAGTGTCACCAGATTTAGCAAATAAAAATAAAGAGTGCATGTTACATCTGAATTTTAGATAAATATTGAACAATTTTTTAGTAGAAGTATATCCTAAATATTACATATGACATACTAAAAATATCATTCATTGCTTAGCAGAAATTCAGATGTAACTGGGCATCCTATATTTTACCTGGAACCCTGAATTGAAAGTTCATTTTACTTTGATTTTTCCTCCAGATAAAAAAGGTGATAAATTGGTACATACCTTCTTTGAATATGTCATATATTCCAGACCTGATGAGAAACTTCTGCTACTGTCTTAGTCTACTCTTTTTCTTTTTTATTATTTTTTAGTGATACACAGTCCCCTTGGTCCTCAGGCACTATACTTATATCATCTTTTGCTTTTTCCCATTCTTAGTCCAAGCAGTTACTAGGTCCTACTCAGTCTTTTTCTCCCTCCCTCCCCCCCCACTTTCTCTCCTCCTCTCTCTCATTTTCCTTTCTCTACTCTTGTTTTTTCCGTCACCCTCTTTTCCCTTTCATCCTTGTAACTGGCTTCTTTTTCATCCACCCCAGTCACCTCAAAAGTCTTCACCAACCCTGATGAACTTGCCTTGACCTTGCGATGTACGCATGTTCTAGTCTATTCTTTTGCCACTTTATTTCTTGAAAAAAATAGCCTGTAATTGCTGTTGCAATTTTTTCACTCCCACTCATTTCTCAGCTCATTATATTTCTTTTACCCATCACTCTGATGACTTTTTCATAGTCTTTTATGGTATCTTCACTTCCATTATAGATACCCTAGATATTTAACACTCTTTTTTTTTTTTACAGCACATTTTTTCTTTGTAATTTTATTAAGTCTTGTTACTCCGATGGTCAGATCTTGCAGATGACTCCAAATTAGATGCCTCTCAGCTTGACATTTCTTCTAGATCTAGGTCTCCAGACCCATGACGCATCTCTCGTAGTGTTTCCAAACTCAACACTGGACATTGAGGGGAGCTACAATATAATTGTAATGAAAAGTTACAAGCATCATAAGGAAAAGAGATGATGTGCTATGAGAATTCTAACAGGCAGAGAGGACCTCTGAGATTGTTTCCATTTG